ATGGCTCCCAGAAGGGCAGGGGAAGGAGGCCAGGGACCATGGAGCCCAAGACGTTCTCCCCAAACGCCAGGGCCTGTGCTGGGCCTGCTCGAAGGAGGCAGCCTGGGGGCCAGAGGGGAGGCGCTGCCACTGCAGAAAAGAAGCACAAAGAGGACAGGTGGCCCCAGCAAAAAAGTGCCAAAAAGTGCCGCGGAGTCACCCGAAAGTAGATGCTACGAGGCAGAGAAGAAAGCCTCGAAGGAAATTTGTGGACGTGTGACCGGCAAACATTCCCTTGAGTGGGAATGAGGCCGAGCAATTTTCCCCTTACATGCATTTTTCTGCATCGTCCAAATTTTCTACAATGAGCATATATTGCTTGCATAATCAGAAAGGGACCATATTCATGATACAACCATATTTATTATAAGTCAAAGAGAATTCATTTTAAGCATAAGATAAACGATTACTACTACTTATGAGTTAAACCTAAACAATAATAACCATATATTATGGCCAGGAAAGTTCGGTAGCTCACGTGTCTCTAGCACTTTACCCTTTGGAGAAACACTTTCAAATAGAAAATGAAACCCGGCAGCTTTGCTATGCAAATATTGGCGACTGTGGTGATATTCCTGCAATAACCCTTGACAGTGAGCTGGGAAGGACAGTTGTTTTCTCCTCTTAAATCTGGGAAACTCAGGAGTGGAGGAGCCACGTTAAGAGTCACAAGATCTGAACGGAGGCTTTGAGTCTGCCCTGTCCCTGTGGCAGCTTCCAGACCTCTGTCCGTCCCAGAACCTTTCTGCAGGGGAGACATTTTCCCCAGGGATCTAGTGTGTTTCCCGTTTTTCCAATTTTTTTCCCCATTACTGGAGGTAGTGCCGATGGCCAGGGCGGAATTGCAATTAGTGAAGATGGCGCTGGGTTTGCTTGAGAACTGTGGTATTTGCACAGGATCCGTTTATCTGTTAAGAGGTGCGCTACAGCAAAGTGGCCTGGCTGAGGCGTGACGGTGCCTCAGACAGGCAGGGGCTGCCTTTTTTTCACACGATGACACTACAGCTGAATGCCACCCTCCTCCTGGGAAGGGAAAACATGTCTGTGGCCCCTCTGGGGCTAGAGTCTATCCCAGAAGGACTCTTTATGCTTGTTTGGGAACGAACACGCCTTTTCCTACCTTACTTTGTAAAAGTGAGCCATTTCCAGCCCCTGGATAACAACGGATGGGAACAAATCTACAAATCAAATACATTTGATCTTCAGTGTCTTTCTTTTAAAGTGAGTTAAAAGGCGAACCAGCATGCTGTTTTCTACTCTAAAAGGCAATTTCTAAATTTGGATTTTGAAAAAAAAAAAATTGTACTCCAGCTTGAAAACCCAGTGGCTCTCAGAATGTAAGTAAGATACACTACTCTTTGTGCTAAAATCATCTTAACTGGTTTAAAATAAATCAGAACGAAATGATACGAGCTGACCATAAGTCTTTCATCACTTATTTTCTGAAGGCAGAAGCGGGATGCACACAGACTGTGCTCCGTCCCGAGAGCCGACTGGGCCCAGATGCAGCGTTCAGTGATTTTCAACTGAGAGGAACAAACATCTCAGGGACCAAACAGACCCAGGCTTTTTATATTCCAAAGACATCCGCGATTTTAGATAACGATTGAATTATAAAATAAACAATTATAAAATGTAATCAACAGGTAAGGTGAATAAATTAGAGACATTTATCTCCTCCAAGAAAAAAATGTCTGGCTCTTGGCTTTTTAAGCTGTAAGTAGATGGACAGATTTTCACAAGACCCTTTCTTTTACTTCCCCTCCTCACCCAGGGCACAGCAAACCATCTCTGCCTTCTAAAATAAAAACACATGCCACTTTAATTTAGCAAAGAAAAGCCAAAATGCAGAATCTCTGCACAGATAGTTTTTAAATTAAAGAGAGAGGGGGAGACTGTTCACTGTGTTTTATACCTTTTGGGGGGCAGTTACCTTCTCCACGTGTTAATAATTTAACTGTCAAATCACAACAAACAGCTAATTCCATCTCTGAGATGCTAGGATTGCAACCTACAAGGGGAGATTTTAATTGTAGCTGCTAAATAGCAAATGCTGACAGAAGTCTGCTTTCAATCCCCAGACAGGGCTGGGACATGACTAATTTATTTTATCTTATCCATCTATCTATGCGCAGGATTAAAATATTTATATCAGTCTGTTCACTTTAAAACATGCAGAGCCGGCACCAGCTTCAGGGCCACTCCTTAATTTTTCACAGTTTTGGCTTTTCATTGTTTCCAGAAATGCATAGCCCTTGAATGGCGAATACTCTCAAATGCTGATGGGATCTTTAAGCCACACGGAACTAGTCCTAGAGCTGCACAAATGCTGCCTGGCCACGGGGACGGCGTCGGAGCTGTTCCGACGTCCCTGTCCCCAGAGATGCCAGTGAAATCAGGCAGGCCTGAGCCCGGCTTCTGAAGGAAGCTTGCCTCTGGCCAGGTGGCTGATGGAAACCAGAGCCTGGTAAGGATGCCCCAGCCAGGTGGCCAGGTAGGCGGCGGGCAGCAGGGGGTTAAGCAGGGAGTGGGGAGGGGTGCAAACAAAAGGCCAGGGGCAGGGGAAATGGGGCTGCAGGGCCCAGCCCGAACAGACGCAGACACAGGGAGCTCTGTCTGCCTGCCCGCTGCCCGGCACTGTGACTAACCGCCCCACTATTGTACCCTGAAGCCAGCCCTTTGTACCGTCCCCTGGCGTCTGGGAGCGCGGCCGAGGAACCCTCCTCGTCCTGGAAACTTGCAGTCTCAACACCCATTCTTTCACCACTCAGGGCTGCTGGGGGCTTGACTAGCCGGTGGAAGCATCCTTTCCCCTGGCCAAGAAGGGCCATCAGCAAAAAAGAAGCAGAAAAACCAGGTTCCCTAACCCTGGGGGAGGGGAGCCCTAGGGACCACTAAACCTGCCCTGCCCAATGCAGTGGTCCTTCCCTACATGCGGCCACTGAGCCTCTGAAGTTCAGAGAGTCCCTCCGGACTGAGATGTACGTGTAAAATACACTCTGGATCTCAAAGACTTAGTACAAGAGGCAAAACATAGGTAAACTATCTCAATAATTTCTTATTAATGACACATGGACATATACTATTTTGGATGCATAAAAGAAAGAAAAAGATAAAAGAAATGGGATTATTAAAGTGAATTTCACCTAGTTTTACTTTTCAAAAAATGTGGCTGCTGGAACATGTTAAATTACAGATGTGGCCGCGTTTGCGGCTGACGCGATGTTTCTACCGGACACAGCTGTGCTAGGCTGTGGGTACCGGGGCCTGGGAACAGGCCTTGCACGCAGCCTGCTTTCTCCCAGGCAGACAATGGAAGATGCCACCGTATCTCCCCACCCAGTGACAACCCCTCACCCAACGGCCAGGAATACCAGGCCCTCACTGCCATGCCTGACCAGCCCTGTGTTCATTTGCCTCGAGGACTGGGTCTTGCACACTCAGGTGTCTGGGAATCGTTTGTAAAACACGTTAAGTGTGCACAGGAACACGCACACGCGTGCTCCAGGGCCCTGACTCTTCACTGAAAGCCATGCCAACCCGTCCTGGCTGGCGTTTGGAGAAGTCAGATTCACAGGGCGCCCAGACGGCCCCCAAAGGGCCCCCTGGAGCCGGACATTTGACCCTTTGCCCTGGGACAGACCGGACCCGCCCAGGGCCCCATCGTGACTTTCCTGGACTCAAGCACTTTTGTATTCATGGCTCCTTCCTCCATAAATATTAAAAATCATATTTTATGACTGCATTGGTATAAAGATGAATATAGTCCATGCTGAATTCTTCATTATACATTCATTATGATTATAGCCATGTTTTTTTCTTCTGATTTTAAAAGACGTTAAAATTAAAACGTATTCCTGGGCCCCGGGCACTGTACTTCCCTGGACCATCCCTCCGAGCTCCCACGACCACTCCCTGAATAGCATCCCCACCCAGACAGGTGCACGGGCCTCCCCTTCTGCATCTGGGACTCGCCTGCCGTTCCTCCAGTGACCAGATCACCCTCCTCACTCTAGAATTCATTCCTGAAGTCCTGCCCTGGATGAATGGCTTGTGACATCCCCACCAGACACCAGAAAACTTTCCACATTATTGTTTTTTAAAAAAATCGATCATGAGAAAGGCCCAGGATCGCAGCATGACAGAAGGCCCCAAGTCTGTGAGAACCATTCCTGCCCCCCACCTCCCACCCAGCTCAGTGCTGGGGTCCCCAACCGGGTGCCCCAGCTGCCATGTTCACCACCAAGAGATGAGCCCACCAAGCATGTTTGATGGTGACACAAGAGGAAACTGTTAGGGTGCCCAGCGCCCACCACGTGCCAGCTCTGTGCTGGCCCTGGGCACCCATGCCCTCCAGTCCTCACACCCCTGTGTCGGGCCCAGCTTCTGGACCGGGGGCGAGGAGGCCTGGCTGGATTTCCAGCACCTCCCAGAAAGAGGCATCTGAAGCTCTCGCCATTCCCCCTCCCGTGGCGCCACCGTGCAGGGCCTGGGCCACCCTGCTGGGGAAGGACGGTGCAGGAGATGGTTAAAATTCTGCATCCTTTTTGCATCCGCCTCCAGAGGAAGCGCTGCTTTTTTTTTTTTTTTCTCTCAAGCAGGAGGAGAAAAAAAAAAAAAAAAAAAAAAAGCTGAGAGCAGCAATTTGCAGGCCTTGGGATGTTTTTCTCCTTGACAGCCCTGGGCCCCGCCTCGCTGGGCCTTCCTCCGGCCAGAGCGGCCACAGCTCGGTCTGCAGCAACCGGCCGGCCCCGTGCACGCGCGGCCTCCCCGCGGAGCTGGGCCGGGAGGGCGGGAGGAAGGCCGGCCGGGCAGGCGGCAGCGATGCCTGGCACTGCGCTGCTTTGTGGCCGCGTCCTCCGCCCGCCGCCCTTCCGCCCGCCCCAGGCCTGCTCCGGGCAGGCCGCACCGCCCGCTGCCCGCCGATCGGCCACCCTGCGCCCCACCCGGGGTACCCTCACCTTCTGGGCCCCGGCCTCCGGGCCTCGGGTCCTGCTGGCGCCCGGGGTGCCCGGCCACGTCCTCGGCGCCGCCGCCGCTCGCCCCACCCGGCTGCCCGCGCTCGGCGGCGAGCCTGGCACGGTGCCAAGCTGCCTGGGAGCCCGGCCCGGGCTGGGGAACTTTCCTGCGAGGGTGTGTGTGGGGAGGGGTGCGGGGTGCGGTGATGCCAGGGGAGGGTGAGGCCCAGATGCCCGGCGGCCGCCCCCCAGCCCCCGGCCGGCCTGCGGGGCCTCCCCCGCCTCCTGTCTCCTGAGTCCCATAAAGGCACAGACAACACGGGCGGTTTAGTCAAAACAGTCATGTGCAGGAGCCGGCAAACAAACAAAAGCCCTTATTTATTTATTTAGTTCACACACTCGGATACGGAGACGCCTTTTGTGCACATAATTTCACACACACCAGAAAGGGGGCGATGCCACCGTGCTCCCCGAAGCCGAGGGCCTGCACGGCCCGCCGGGCCTCGGGAATAATTGCATTGCCTGGCCTGGGCATTTCCATATTTAAATTGGGCAGCAGCCTATGATTAATTAAGAAGGAAAAAGGCAAAAAAGGAAGAAAAATGGTGGGGGTGGGGAGCCGGACGTTCTGGGCAGCACAAGGTGCCAGGGTGCCCGTGGCGGCTTAACTCCTGCCCTGCCAGGCCCAGGCCCGGGAGCAGAGGCGGCTGGGAGGGGACGCGGCCTGCGCCTTCTGTAGAGTCCCCGGCCCTGGGGGGCACACCCTCGGCCCCTTCGTGCCTCGAGTGCCACCCCAGCTTCAAAGGCTGCCCCAGGAACGTCCTCTACCTCACTTTCTCATTCAGAGTGGCTGGGCTTTGTGCCAGGTGCTGGGGAAAGACACCCCAAAGCCCCTGGTGGGGTGCTGGCCCGGGAAGAGCTGCTGCCATTCTGGCTGGGATGACTCGTCCTTGGCCACGGACACCTTTACGCCACGACATGCAAGCTGCACTGAGGCCCTGCTCCAGGCGAGGCTCCCAGATCCCTCCGCACTCACACAAGCCCCCTGCCAAGGGCTGCGCCACGGCCCTTCCGTCCCCTAGAGCAGCGGCCTGTTCTGGGAACGGGGCAGGGAGGCTCGCCACCCTTCTGGAAAGAATCAAGAGCTGTGGCTAAGTGAGAGCTGCGAAAGACCACATTCCTGGAAGCAGGTGGTGAGCCCCACGGAGCCCTGGACTTAGGGTCCAGCCGTCACCAAGCTTCAGCCCTGCCCCTTGCCAGCTGTATGGCCCTGGGAGAGTTATCTGGCGTCTCTGGGCCTCAGTTTGCTCACCTGTAAAATGGGGATGATAGCAGTGCCCACTGCACCTGCCCCACGGAGTTGAGCGGAGGAAGAGCAGCTCCCGGTTGAGCATAGAACCTGCTTGAGTTTCCAGAACCTCTGTCCTTGAGGTGGGCAAAGGTTGGAGCCAGTGGGGCCTCTGGCAGGAAGTTCCTCAGCCCAGGAACAAATCCACAACAGTTTGAATCCACTGCGCAAGTGGATGACGTTTAGAGCTTGGAGCTGGGAGAGCAGCTGGATTATCCAGGTGGGGCCAATCTAGTCACATGACTCCTTCCCAGCTATGATCAGAGAAAGAGACACGCCACTCTCTCTGAAGATGAAGGAAGGGACCACGGGCCAAGGAATGTGGGCGCCTCTAGAAGCTGGAAGAGACCAGGAACGGATTCTCCCCGGGAGCCTCCAGAAGAAAGCAGCCCTGCCCACACCTAGATTTTAGCCCTGTGAGACATTTCAGATTTCCAGCCTCCATAATCCTGACTGTTTGAGCCATCAGATCAGTGAACTTTGTTATGGCAGCAATAGGAAACTGACAACCCACCCCACCCCACCCCCAGCTCGCCCAGGTGCCTCTGAAGGAGACCCTGGGAAGGCAGCCCGCCACCGACATATTCACTCCACACCTGGTGCTCCTCTGTGGTGGGCAGTGCTGGGCTGGGGTCAGCAGACCTCATCCCTGCCCTCAGGAGCCTTTGGTCAGGCAGCCAGATGCCCTACAGAGCCCTCCTCGCCCAAGGGGCTCTAACCTCACCTCTTGACCCACCCACCCCATCCCACCTCCTCCTCCTACCCCTCACCACCACTTACAGAGCATCGCCCATGAGCAGGCATCATGATAAAACTTATCTCATTCCACCCCCAGCCTGACAGGCTCAGTGGTCGAGGCAGCCTGGACCCCTAGATCCTATCAGCAGTTTAGTAGGACGAGGGCCCACTTCCTGTTTCGTAACCATTAATGTGTCCTTCTCACAGTAGGACAGGCGGAAGGTCTTTGGGCCACTGTCTCTGCTCTTTGGGCCCAGGGTCCTCATCTGTAAAGGGGGCTGATTACAGCCCCTCACAGGGTGGCTGTGGACGTGGCAGCCGGTGCTGTGCGTGCTCAAAACTGCCCAGTCAAGTCAGCTCTGGAAAGGGTTGGGTTTTTCTCTAAAAGTCAAAAGATGCCAGGCAGGTTATCGCCTCAGTACCATCACTGTGCAGGGGGCCGGGGACTGTGCCCCCGGCCGAGGTGGAATTTCAGACAACCTCCAAAGGTTTCTGGAACCTAAAGGTCTCTCCTAACAGCCTTCAATCCCTTAGGAAATAAGCAGAAATGTGCACACAGACACTCCCCAAAATGTTGTTCACAACAGGGAAAACCGGAAATAATTGGGAATAACCTAAGCGTCCAATAATAAGGGGTTAGTTAAAGAGCTTCATCAATGGAATATTAAACAGTCATTAAAAACCAACTTGCAGAACAGTATCTTCTGATTTAGGGAACGAGTTGTGATAAAATATTTCGTGAAACAAGAAGAAGATAAAATGATACATATAATCAGATGCTAAGATGCTAATTTTGCTTGAAATTATGTTTTTACAGAAGCTGGGTAAAGTGTTCCCACTAGTTATTTCTGAGGGTGGTTTCACAGGTGATTGAAAACTTTCTTTCTTCTTTTATGAGGATTCAAAATGTTCTAAAATTAGCATGTAACATCAGTGATGGAAAAAAAAAAAAAAAATCAATGCAGGAGAGGAGTCATGCTCCTTCCACGGAGCTGCCCGCGGGTCCTCCCCAGCCCTCGGCATGCGGCAGGAACACGTGCAGCGAGCCGGGCCAGCTGGGGCGGGGCTGGAGTGGGGGGCGGTCTGTGGCCTCTCTGCCACACAGGGCTCCACACTCAGCAAAGTCCTGCATTCAAGCCCTGCATTCACACTTGCTTTAATGCTCTGCTGTCGCCATCCTGAAACTCTTAATACTTTTTGAAGAAGCCCCCGCCCCCCATTTTAATTTTGCACTGGGCTCTGCACTGACGTAGCCATTCCCAGCAAGGAGCCCTGGGCCTCTGGATCCTGGACCTTACTTTCCAGTTTCCTGAGTGCAGCAGCCAGCTTTTTGCAGTCAGTTTGTCTTATTTCCCACTCCGTGACCCCTTCTCTCCTGCTTCTCCCTGCTACACCGACTGTCGACTGTCGACTGTCGGCAGAAATGGGAACTGGGGCTCTGTTTTGTAAACACATGCATCCATCACTTGCAGTGCTTTCCCTGGAGACTGAAATCAGCACCTCACCAAGTTTTTAGGACCTTCTTACCAGCTGTGTATTTTCCCCGGGAAAACCAGATGCCTCAGACCCAGAACCACTGTTGCAGTCCCGTCCCACATCTGGTCCTACCAGTGAAGGCTCAGGGATACCTAGGAGGCTTCCTCCTACAGCTTCTGCAGAAACACCGCTAGAGACGTGGTAAGCTGCTCGTCCCTGGGGGCATTCAACAGAGACTACGCGGCCGGCAGCAGGAGCACTGCAGGAAACACCTTCTCTGGATGGAAAGTTAGCTCAGAGAGCCTCATCCTGGTGTTATAATTGCACAGGGCATCCGGCAGCTTCTCAAGGCAGGGCCAACGTCAGACTCACGTCTCGACCCCCTGTGCTCAGCACAGGCCTATAAATGCAGGGGAGGGGCTTAGTGATGGTTTCTTCTGGGATAAGGAAAGAAACACAAAAAGTGGGGAGAGGCAAGCAGTTGAGAGTTGACATGAGATTTGAGAAACTCAAGAGCTGCCCCAGAAGCAGGTGCCGTGTTAGAGAAGCCACGGTCCCCCTCGACTACAGTCAAATAGCAGCGACTAGATTTCCTGAGTGCCTCTGCGTGCGAGTGCCACGCTGAGCGTCCACACGGGTATCACAATTCTCCCCCAAGACTCCACTGAATCAGAACTCTTATTAAGCCCGTTTTATGAGTGAGGAAGTTGAGGCTCAGAGAGTTGAGGTTACTGGCCCAGGGCCACCCAGCTAGCACAAGGCAAGGGTTTTGAGTGCAGACCTGGCTCACAGAAGAGCCAGTCCTTCAGTGCAACCATAAGCCCAAGCTTTCCAAACTAGCGGCGGCTCTACTGCCTGGGATGTGAAGAAAGTTCAAGTTCACTTTCTGTATCCTGCTCCTCCTTCATTAGTCACAGAGCATCTCAGGCACAGCCTGAGTGGACGGAGAGGTTCCCCAGAGGATCTGGGGCCAGGGTAAGTCGGGTACCTTGTTTTAGGGAGATTTTAACTTCAAATCAGCTCGGTTAAGCAGATCAGGGCTTACAGAGGCAAGCCAGCTTCAGCTGCCGGAAGGACTCGGTATGTGGAGGCCAACACCTCCCCGTGATTCCGTCATGATGAGGGGTAAACGAGGTGCAAACTCCCCTCCCTTTCTGCGCCCCAGGTCTATAGGGCTTCCTTGTCAGAGCTTGGGCTGGGGGGGGCGGTCACTAGGAAACCTGCCTCTCTTTTAACATTACACAGCTCATGTTGGACTTCCCTCGTGGTCCAATGGTTAAGACTCCGCGCTTCCACTGCGGGGGTGCAGGTTTGATCCCTGGTCGGGGAACCAAGATCCTGCATGCCACGCAAAATTAAAAAATAAATAAATAAATAAGAAATGGCTCACACGGACCCAGGGGTTGTAACCCGGGGGGCAACAGGCTGGGTTCACCCAAGGATGTGTTTCCTCTGTCCTGCATTCGGGGTTTTCAAATTCTGGGCATTCTACGCACAAATCTGGATTTCCTTCTTCTGGAGAGCCAGAAGCTCTGGAACCCTAGGCCTTTCCCCTCGTGGCAGCAACTGGAGGGAGCCGGCATGAGGCCTCCCTCCCCTTAGCGCAGGCCTGGGCTCTCTGTTCCCCCAGTCCCCAAAACTCTCCCCTGCACCCCGCCTGACCCCTGTAGGCTGTCTGTTCAAGGCCCCTGCTGGAGCATCCAGGATACAGAGGGCAGTGACCTGTCCAGCCCCCGGCTGGCCTAGGCCTTCTCCATCCATGGCCCCCCTGTAGCCTTTCGCCGAAGGGGACTTTGGGGTCCAGGTGCCCTGGGGATGGAGGTGAGGTTAACAACGACCTCTGGAAGATTGGGCACCTGTCCGTGACTGAGAGCAGGCCCAGCCAGGCATTCCCTGCTGTGGCTGGGGGACCGGGGCTGGGACGGGGTAGGGGGGCAGTCAAACTCAAGGGGGCCGCCGAGGCCCTGCCACCGCCCACCCCGTAGGCACCCCCCAGGGATCAGGCCACTCACAGGCGGCCTTGTCTCAGGCAAAGGGAGGAGGAGGGTGCAGAGAAACCGGCCGGAGGGGGTCCTGGGCCTGTGGGCAGAGGCAAGTGGAGGCGCCAGTGTCCCCAGCTCTGCTCCCCAGGGACAAGGCCCCACAGGGCCCAGGCGCCCCCTCCTCCCCAGGCCCTGACCACAGCTGCCATGCTGTGTCCCTGAAGCTGCCATAGCAGCGTGGCACCAAGGCTGCCTTGGCACAGTTGCCCTGGGCAGAGTAGAGAGGAGGTGGTGGCTAGGGGTGCCCCTGGGGAAGGTCCCCCTGGGGAAGGTCCCCCAGGATGGCCACAGGGAAGCCGTTCAGGCAGGGGGGCAGGACCAGGCGCAGTAGCCGCCTGGAGCCCCCCGGGACCCGCTCGCACTGCAGCGGCCGGGGGGCAACTGCGCAGGTGGGCCAGGGCTGCCTCCCCTGAGCTATGGGGGTCGCTCACCCCACAGGCCCTGATCCGCATGCAGCCCCTGGCAGGCCTGGGCCTGGGGCTTTAACACCTGAAAGCCGGAGTGGCACCGGTGACCCCTCCTTCTTCCCTCCAGCCAAAGCGGGTGGGGGCCGCGCAAGGCCGAAGGGGAGAGAAAACCAGAGCGAGCTTCTTTCCCCTTTAAGAGCCCTGATGGCCGCCGCCCAGACCCAGCGGCCCGGGGACGAAAATGTCGCGAAAGATTCCCTTCCGAACTTCCCGAGTCTTTGTTCGGGAGGAGGCCGGGGCGGGCAGCTTCGCTGGGCGGAGGGCCGCGGGCTGAGCCGTGCGCTCCATGGCGGCCACGGTCACGGCGGCGGCGGCGGCGGCGGCGGCGGCGCCCCCCGCGCTCGCCCCCCGGGGCGCCCCCTCCCGGCCCGAGCCCGGGCCCGGCCCCCGGCCCCGGACCCCGCCGGCCGCGGGGGGCGCCGAGGGCTAGGGCGGGAGAGCGGGCGCCGCTTACCAGGTCATCCCGGAGTGCCCCGCGGTCCCGCCGGAGTCAAGTTCACGTCCGGCCGGCGGACTGTCCGAGGTCCCGGCGCGGCCGCGCAGAGCGAGGCCGCGAGCGGCCGCCGGCCCGGGTCACGCCGCACGCGGCCCCGCGGCGCCGCTGTCACCCCGGTCCCGCGACCCCAACTTTCCACACAGTCGCGGAGCTGGAAGTTTCCGGGCTTCGTGGGCGCTGGGCTGGGTTTCTGCAGTGTCGTCTGAGCTTGGCAACAAAGAGGGAAAGCAGGCCGGGAGAGGGGAGGAAAGAAAGAAATACGATGGGGAGAGGCCCGGCTACTGAGAAATCTCCAGGACTTGAAATTCCACCCGAAGCTTTTTTTGGATGTTTTTTCTTAGGTGGTAAACACCCCCCGCAGCTCAGGATGGAGCCCCTCCTCTGGTCCCGTGGCTGAGGCACCTTCCTCGGCACCTGCCTGTTTTATAACCCACTCCAAAGCGTCTTGGGCAAATTTTGGGGGTGGGGGGGAGTGAGGTGGGCACAAGATGCTTCCTGAAAGGTGGTTGATCTCAGTGCAGCTGCAGCAGGCCTGGGCTCGGAGGGGCTCCCTCTTGTCCTCCCAGCAAACCAGCTTGGGTCAGCTGCTCCAAGCAGCTCCCCTGTGTTTCTGTCCTGGGAGAAGAGGGACAGCTGGGACCACCACCACCACCCCCCTCCACCGTGTCCAGAAGAGGACCTGGGCTCCGTAAAGGGTCGAGGGCCCCAGGCCCACCTGCCCCCAGCCCACAGGTGCCGTAAACAGAGGACCCAGTCCTTGCCCTCTACGCAGCTGTTCTATGTGTGAGGTGGGAGGACTCCCAGTAACCTGGAAGCTCAGGCCTCCTCTTCTCGGGAGTTCCCTGGCTGCTGGTACCAGGGTCCCGGGAACGTGTCTGGGCTGGAGGGGGAAGCTGAGTGTCCTCAGGCCTCGGAACCTTCGCAGTGGCCTAGCCCAGTCCCTTCAAGGGCCGTCTGAGCACTGGAACAGGAGCTGAGGGGCACAAAGCATCAGCTGTCACTCGGCCTTGGGATACTCCTGCCCTGCCCTGTTCATCAGTTTGTCTGTCCGTCCTTCCCTGCAAAGACATATTTATGGAGAAAACAGTCCCATGCCTGCGATGCCAGAGCTCTGTGAAAGGCTGGGAGAATGAGGTGGTTTGGTTTTTTGTTTAAAGAAAAATGAGCAAGGGGACCGTGGAGACAGGTTGGGGGTTGGAGTAGGGGGCGGGATATGTTGTCTCTCGTCCCTCCAGGTGCCGGAGAGCTTCTCCGCTCAGTGCACATTTGCCCTTCCAATGATTTCTCAGATGTGATTCTTTCTAGAGTTGGTCCTGGATGCCCACGTGTAGTTCACAGAAGAGGCTGCGCCTGGGGGCACCTGATGGGTGCAGCCCATCCACCTGGAAACTTCAGAACTTACCATGGGGCTGAGACCATAGAAGGGGCAGAGGTGGGCAGGTCATCCTGGGGCTGGCTGGGGCAGCGTGTGGAGCGGGTGTTCAGAGCCACAGATCTTTGTCAGCTTATGTACCTAGGCTGCCAGTTCATCCCCAGGGCCCACAGTTTGCCTCATCTGGGGAAAAATCCACCTGCCAATGAAGTCCAAGATCGTTTCCCAGAAGGGGTATTTTCACAGGAACAAGCGTTTATCTCCAAAACCTCGGCTGGTCAGCCGTGCACGCTCCAGCAGAGCACCGAAGACCCATCGGGGCTCAGCGCCAGGGCGCCTCCTGAAGTAGGTACCCCTCGTTGACACGAAAGCCCCTCGCTCAGAGGCCGGGCCCTTTCCGCGGGAGGGAAGCTGCCTGTTCTCTCCCACGGCATCCTCACTGGGGGACTCCATTCGTGAGCTGCAATCACTTGTATTTCCAGGACTGAAAAATGCATCCAGAACCGCATGTCTTCCTGAAGCTTGAACCCACCCATTTGCTTTCTGATGTGTGGTCACTGTTGCTCAGTTTGTCCCCAAAGGGGATGTCACCCTAGCTCCATGAAAAACCGCCAAGACCTTGTTCGGCCTGGCTTCATGGGCACGTAGCCTGTGCAGTCATCCCATGCTCTATGCTCTGCTGTCTCTGTCTTAAAGTTCTTTTTTTTAAATCAATATTTTTATTTATCAATATATTTTTTATTTTCAACAATTTACAGTGTTATGTTAATTTCTGCTGTACAGTGAAGTGATTCAGTTATACATACATACATTCTTTTTTAAAATATTCTTTTCCAAAATAAAAAAAATTCTTTTCCATTATGGTTTATCATAGAATATTGAATATAGTTCTCTGTGCTATACAGTAGGATCTTGTTTTTTTTTTTTTAATTATTAATCCTTTTTGAACAAGGGGCCCTGCCTTTTTATTTTGCCCTGGGTCCTGGGCCATTGCCCACTTTGGCTGTTGTTAACAGGGTCATAAATTTAAAAACGAAACAAAACAAAACACAATTTTTATATTTCTTTTACTAAAGTCTGTTTACAGAAATAATTTCAGAGTCTATCTAAACAAGATAAAATATTTGAATAAAAGATCAATGTATTTAGGAAACATGTTCACCTCGAAGGGGCAGGAAGTTGTTATAGTAATAGTACAGCTCTGAGAGTTGGAATTATCCACGTTCAGCCCCCCAGCTCTGCCACGTGGGCCCTGTGTACCAACTCAGGGTCTCAGCTCGAGTGTGCACGGGGTGACACTCCCACCTGTGGGGTGGTCTAAGGAGCCAGGATTGTGGGAGAATTTGGCAGAATATCAGATACTTAATAAAAATACTGTGGATTGTCGTGTTATATTATTTGACATGAAGGCTTAGGTGAATTTTGACTACTTTTAATAAGAGTGTATTTTGTCCCTTCTCGTTATAAAAGCAATACAGACTACACAATGTCATAGAAAGTTTGGATATATATATATATATATATATATATAGAGAGAGAGAGAGAGAGAGAGAGAGAGAGAGAGACTTAGAGAGAGAGAAAGAGAAAGTAAGCATGTCCCTCTTAATCCAAAGCCACCTTTGGCCACTCACATTACCGTTTATTTCTTTATATAAAGAGACATACAAATACATTTCATTTAAAAAACTTTTTCTTTTACCCCATGGACATTTTTAAATGGGGACCCTGGTGAGGCCCCGCAGGAGAATCCGAGCAGAACTAATGGCCCTACATTGTGAACTAAATCCAGGCTGACCACAGCTCAGGGCAGCTTCACACGCAGGTATAAACCCAGTCTCCGCCGCCACCTGCTCCCAAGGACCATAAATTGTGACATTTACAGTTACAAAAGCGCCGGCTGATAACAACTCTACATCACAAAATGTCCTTAACCTGCTGCTGCCTCATCCTTCCCATTTGTGACTTAGTTAAAAAAATATTTTTTTAACAGTTTCGGGTTCTTATTTTTAATTTCCAGTCTGTTGTAGAATCTGCTCAGTCAGGGAGGGGAAAGAAACCCAATCAATCAGGTCTCCTCCTCGGCACCTTCGTAAGGCCAGCTGGTTGGAGGGAAGGGGCCTGATGGGAGAGGGGGGTCCCGGCAGCTCTAAACACAGGCAGAGCCCTGTTCTCAGAGAAACTCATGTTTAACCGCTAAGCCCAGCTGACGGGTCCACCGAATGAGCAGTAGATTATAAATTGTACAGTAACCCGGAGCAGACGACAGGCACAGGAAAAACACAGCCCCTGACCCCCAAACCCATGCTGCATTAATGAGCTATTTGGGGCCCAGAAGCTCCTGGGAACTGAAGTTTGAAGGCAGTGAGAATCCAGGTGTGAGGTCAAGTCTGAGCTGCCCGGGGCTGCCGGCCAGGTGACTCTGGGCAAGTCATTTCTCCACTCAGTTTCCCCCAGTTTGGAGGGAGACGTAGTGATAAACAACAGCCCCAACTTTCCAGGGCCGCAGGGACAGGAGACGTGCTACAGCTCAGTCACTGGCACCGGGCGTGCCACCCCCTTGCCCCTATCAGTCCCTGCAGGTCTCACCGAGGAGGGCCTTGTGCAGCAGGGAAAGTGGCACGGGGGCAGAGACCAGAACGCGCGCCCACCCTCGCCAGCGGGGGAGACTGGCATGTCCAGGAGGGGACCTTGGAGCTACAGGATCCTGTCACTCCAAACAGGAGGCTCTGGCTTCCCAGCCACCCAAGTAAGCCCAGGGACCACACTTCTCCCTGCATCCGTAGTGCCCAGTGGGCATAGCAGCCCTCAACAATAACCCAGCACAGAAACTGGGCCAAAGGACCGGGGCAGGGAGCTCCACCCTCACACGCCCATCATCCGCTACCGCCTTCTAGGCAGTTCCCTTTCGCTGGACCCGGGCATCGTCGTTCTGTCCCAGAGCCCAGTCCCGCGTCCCTGGCCTGCTTCAGCTGGAAGAGAGGAAAGGAAATCTGTTTGTTTTGATTCAATTTGTTTATAAAAAGGAAAGTGTTTGTTATAGAAAATTTGGAAATATAGAAAAAGCACAAAAAAGAAAACAAAAATTACCCATAAGATAATTACCAGGTACATTTTGTTGAAAGTCATTCTGGTATTATTTCCAAACCATATATGTATATGTACTCTGTGTGTGTGATCACACTATAGGTTATTTCTGAATCTTTTTGTTTAATATGTTTTGAGCATTTTATGTCATTAAATTTCATTCTTTCCAGGATTTGAAAAATAAAATCTAAATACCATTAATTTTAAAAATCAACTTTATTGAGGTATAATTTCCATGCAATAAGATCCCTTTCACTTTACTGTTCAATGAGTTTTGACAAATGTATTCAGCCCTGGGACCACCAGTACAATCAAGAAAGAAAATACCATCACCACAAAACGTCCCCTGGCAGGCAATCTTCTGAATCCTACCACTATAGATGTTCTACCTTTATTTAACATAAACGCGATCACAGAGTGTGGACTCGCCCAGCATAGGTGACATTCATCTATGTCTATCAGTATGTCCATCAACAGCTCACTCCTGTTTATTGTTTTATATTATCCCGTTGTACGCCTATCACAGCTTGTTTACCTGTTTGGCTGTGGGTGGACAATGGAGTTGTTTCTGATGTTTTGGCCATTGTGAATAGACCTTGTGAATGCTAATTTTTTTTTTTTTAACAATGTCACTGGCACAGGTTATGTACCCATCATGTGGGCGTGGCCTGTGTATTTCTTGCCTGGAGCACTCCCAAGAGCTGTGCAGTAGTCCATCCTATAATTTTTGCCACTATTATTGGACATGTAGTTTCTTTAAAGCTTTTGCTACTATAAATAATGCTGCTGGGGGAATTCCCTGGTGGTCCAGTGATTAGGACTCCGAGCTTTCACTGCAGGGGGCATGGGTTAGCTCCCTGGTCGGGGAACTAAGATCCCTCAAGCCCAGCGGTGCAGAAAAAAAAAAAAAGTGCCGCTGGAACATCTCTATAGTGACTGTTACATGTGTGGCTATGCTGCTTTCCTGAAGATAAATTCCCAGAAGCAGGAGTGTTAGGTCAAATGGTGTCCATGTTTTTAAGGCCCTTGCCACACAAGGTCAGGACTTTTAGGCACATTCATATCCATTTTCCCCCCATTTACTTCTCATATTAAGGATAGGCATCACTATCCCCATTGTTCAGATCGGAAAACTGAGGACTGGAGAGATGAAATGATCAGCCAGAGGCCACGGAGCTGCTTAAGTACAGAGCTGGGAGGAAACCCCAATCTCTGAGCCCTGTACTCTTCCAGGACCACTTCCTGCCTCACTCTCACGCATTTGCCTGTGTCAGAAACGCTTGGAATTTTCCCACAAAGATTTCCATGAAAATCAAATTGTGAGCTGAGAGATGAAAGGCAGCCTCGTGTTAATTAGTCGGGCTTTGGTTTGGTTTGTCCACCGAGCCTGGCTGTGTGTGACTATCTCCATTTTCATACAACCGCACGTTGGCACTCTCACACCCACCAACACCAGCGGCGGCCCGTCCAGACGATGGGTCCAGATTCTCCTTCCAAACTGCCTTCGGAGCTGGGAGCCACAGGTCTCCTGACGTTGCAGTCATGGCGTATTCTGGCACTGGACAGGGGGCCCTGGCTTGGCTTCCGTACATCTTCTCAGCCAACTTGGCCCAAAGGACATCTGGTTATTTCCCCAAATCAAATCTCCCCTGAGGACAAAGATCAGGCTGCTGGGGTGGCTCAAAAGAATGATCCGCTCCTGAGATGACGGCTTCCAAAGAGGGGTCGCAGCTAGTCTGGGGGTAGCTGAGCCCCGGCGCTCATCCAGCGCCCGGAGGATGTGGAGGTGCTCTGTGAAGTACGGGAATCCTGGGTATTTGCAGAGGGTTCTCAGGCCACTCTGGGGGTTGTGGAAACAGCTCACCACCAAAACTGAGACATAGTTTGACTTCTTTCACTTATTATTAATTGGTTTTGTGTCTGACAGGGCTATACTCATTATCTTATTGAATCCTCAACAACCAAATATTATCCCTATTTTACAGATGAGAAAACTAAGGCTCAGAGAGGTTAAGAAACTTCTTTGAGGTCACAGAGCAGTCCGTACTCAGTCTCAGTGTGCCTACTCTTTGCAGACATCAGGCCCCAGCCTCTCTTCTGAGTTAGAGAGGTCTCTGCCCCTGTGTGTGGCTAGTAGGCCCCAAGAAACGCATGTTCATCTGAAGAACCCGAGCAGAACCCAAGATGATTCTCAAGTGCTTGGAAGATACAAACGGTCCAGTCTCCTCCTCCTCCCACCCAAATCCTGTTCAGGTTCCTGAGGGGCTTCCTTCCTGGGACCACACCCTAGGCCGACCCCATTGCTGAGTGGATCCATTAACACCCCTTTTAAGAATGTGGGTGTTGTGCCCTGAGTTGGGGCAAAAAATAATCACCTCCTGTCAGCCCTGGGTCTGAGGCCTCCCTGCTCTTGAAGCAAGGAGGCCTAAGAAGGCCTTTGTCCACGGAAGAAGAAACCAGGAAAGGAAGAGACCATTCTCTCAGAAAACATGTGTTTTCTGTTTACAGAGGGGCCTGTCCAGTTCCCATGCTTTGTTCTTTAATATGGAGCCAAAAAAAAAAAAAAAAATCAAATGTGCAGCTTCCTCTCTGAGGTACATTTGGAGGCTGGAAAATCTGGATTGCTGCAGGCGCGCTGTGCTGGGCTTTGAGCTGGCCCGGCCTGGG